TAGCAATTTACATAAAACATAGTACCAAAACTAAGGTCACCTAAAGCTTTCAGCTGCCTCGCCCTCACTATTCAAAACCTTGCACCTGCTAAAGGTGAATTTAACTCTTTCTACTCCAAGAACACATGCCTATGCATTTCTGCTACACAAGAAACCTTAAATTACACACCATTTTCCTCCAGAACTCATCTTGACATATGAAAGTTCCTTACTGGATACTTATCTCTACTAGGATACTCATGGAAACCGGCTGACAGTAATCAGTCTGAGGAATTATGAAAGACATAAGTCTTCCTTATAAAAGGAAATTTTGCATGCATCCTGCCATCCTACTGCTTATTTTAACATTGTTAGCTTCTCAAGAGTTTTCATTGATTTTTTTGAATGCTCCTTTATGATAGCAGTAATAAGAAAAGAAAAGGAAAAAAATTATTTAAAAAATACAATACAAGGCAAATGTAGTACAAAGCCTAGATCCTGTAAAGATATTTTTTCTGCCCAGTACTTCAAATTAAGCTAGCCCTCTGCACCTCAAAGTAAGTCAAGGTCACTATAGCTGCAAGAATTCTTACAGGGATTACTTCATTAGATAACTCAAAACGTATCCAACTGAGAAGGCAGGTCTTGCAATCAGTCCCCTGGGAAGTCTGCTCTCAAGAGTGCCTATCGAAAGGGAGGAATGATGCCTAATTTTATACTCCCAAATTATTAAATTCTGAGAGAAAGGAGGAAAAGAAGAAATACTTTGGTTTTATCATAACCGCATGATGTCAAGAGTAGCCCCAAACTGATCTACTTGCTTTTTCCCCATCTCACTTGCTTGCAGTGTTTAGGCTGTAGCTCTTCAGTAATGTGTTTCGGAAGACACAGAAATGCTTCACAACTCTTAAATAGACCATAAGCAGCTAAACAGTAATTGTTCTGGAGGACAAGAGTCTGTTGGTAAGGCACTGGAATGGCCTATGACAGCAATAAGTAGATAAACAAATACTAAAAGTTAAATTGTGAAAGATGCCTTGACTATTTCCTTTTAACTGTTAGCCACCTTGAGATATCACGTAAGCAATGAAGCAGCAAAGAGATAACACTGGTTAGACAGCGAAATCTCAATTTCTCCCGGACCTACAGAATCATAAGCTAACAGATTACTGGCGCATTGGCATACAGCTACATTGTAGCTCGTGTAAACCCTGTTGCAGTTCCCGAAATAAAATGCACGTGCAGCCAGATGCGGAAAAACCATAATGGGAAACAACGTAAACTGAGGCACGCACAGAAGATTTTGATACTACAGTCAAGCACCTTACAGAGCAAAGATCCTAAACTATCTAAAGATGCCATCTCTGTAGAGACTCAGCATACTGCATGCATTTCAAAAACAAACAAAAAAAACACCCACAGAACCATCTTTCCAGTGCAATAGAAACTGGAGAGTAAAGCACAGAAGCCCAGTCTTCCCATGTTTTCTTAATGAATCTTAATATCTTGTAATACTGCCACCAGCACTGTCACCAGAGTTAGTTTCATGCTACAGACACCAACACCCACATCACTCACTTATAACCAAAGACTGTCATCACTGATGACAGGAGTTTCTATCGTTATTGTTGATGATTATTGATTTCTGTAAAAGCTGTACAAAACATAGTACTATCAGTAAGAAGTATTAAAGAGTCTCTGCTTAGGAGGAGAAGCAATATTTTCCTTTGAAAAATACTTCTCTAATCCAATATCTTAAAATAATTCCGAATACCTCCCAATATTAGGTTTCTCCATAGCCTTTATGAGATTGTAGTAAAAGCTCTACTTTATATGGTCCCATTCTTCTCAATAATTATGTAACATCCAGTTTGTAGTTTCCATTTATTTGTAAGTAAATTAATAGCCAAAAAACATGATAAATTTATAGGATGGAAGATTTACTTCTGATCATACAGATACGGAAGGAGGGAGAGAATCTCTACAGGCTTCCCAAACCTACCTGGCCTCTAAAATGGGTGAGCCACCTCTTAAACTGACAATCATTTCTTTCCTGGGTCAACAAAATTTTGAGATCTCCGAAACCACAGTGAAGGACTGTGAGGACTTGCCCATCAGACTCTTAAACCACAATCAACCACTCTCATTTCAACAGCCGTTACACAACTGCTGGATGACAATTACTTTCTCTGGCTGCTCAACTGGAACCTGTGATCTACAATCCTAATTTTGCTCTTAAAAAATATACTCAATATTCAAAAATTCCTCAAGGTGTGTTCCTTAGCTAAGATTCATTATCTTCACAGAGAAGATGTTTGTTTCAATATCGGTATGCCTCAAGTAATGACAAATGTTAAGATATATTCAGTCACATTCTTTGAACGCTGTAGCCTAGTGACTAGATATAGGCCTAACTAGCTAAACTGAAGTGATCTCTACGAGAGATTAAAATATTTAGGAATGTCACCCATACATATTTTCCTAATGGGTCTCTTGCACATTTTTAATTTCTAAGATTAACTGACATTCCAAAAGGGGCACGTATTTTGGTGGATAAAAATGTCAAACTGTACCGAAAAAACAATGGCAATCAATGAGTCTAATCAGGACTCTAAAACGATACTTTGTGTCGTGAGTGTGTATATAAATTAGTGATGAATAATAGACACTGTCCACTTACTACTAAATGATTAGCCATGCGTATACACCAAAATGCTACTTCTTGAAAATGTGACTGCCATAAGGCTGACTGCCAGACCTTCAAAAGGCTGGATCTTACTAAGTTGAGCCACCTGTTCTATAACACTGCAGAAAAATAGACACTCAAAAAGAGCAAGAGTCACTGAAATCAGCCAAGTTATTTGTCTAGGATACTACTTAAAAGGAACGTGGACAGAGCTAACCCAGAAGAGCTAGAACCCTAGAACCTCAGCATATAGAACCAGAAGTAGCTTTGTGGTTTACTTTTGGTCGCCTGTGAAATGTGAGAGTAAGAGTGAAAGAACTAATGGGGGAAGAAAACTTGCGCCACAGTTTGTTGGGTTTGGCTTTCTTTTACACAAATTAGCTGAGAGATATCAAAAATATTGCAGTCAGTTCCTACTTTTTTCAAATGTCTGAGATATGTGGCTAACCACATTCAGGACACACATGGACCATACCCAATCAGGAATTTAAGAGAACAGTTGAGATCTCCTTGCTCATGTCCTTAACGCTTTAGCAACATCATGCCTTTATGCCCCTTTTCTGAAGGACATACAATGTTTGCCTAGTTCCACGTGTGTCCTAAGTGTTCTGTATTATGGAAAGAACACATTTTGTAAAAACATGGACACTTTAATTAAAGGAAAAAAAAAGGCTCAGTGCTAATTTCCAGGTGACTCATATAAAGTCAAAATACTGTAACTGAATCCAATGCATTTGAAACTCTTTTCCTGTGCATGTTGGTATAACCCTGGAGCTGACCTTTTTCTCTTTTTGTAGAGAGGGGCAAGAGAGTAAAAAATTTGACCTAACCTCCTGCTTGGAAGATTGCTTTGATGGCTACTAGTCACAGAACGCATTCACACTGGACAAGATACTGTCATATTTTGGTTATACTGGAAAGGCATAAGATAGATGTAGTAAACAAATGCCGTTACAGCTAAGCAAGAGACAACACTGGTGTCAATGATTTATACTCACACAATAAAATATTAAGAGCAACAAATTATAAATCTGGTAGTACAAGAAGTCTAACAGGCTTTCTCACAGTATATCAATTCAGACACTAAGTAAAATCCATCAAAAACACTGCAGAAATATAGTGTGTTGCATTACATAAAATCTGATACAGAAGCTCAGCTTTATATAACTGTTATATGCATGCAGATGGCCTTCAGGATAAAATATCATCCCTAAGCTGCGGTTTGAACAAAATTTAAAGTATAAGTAAAGGGAGGATTTCTGCCATTTCCAGTGCAGTGTCCTAACTAAATATAGGATGAATTTCTCTTTATTTCTAACTCCTATCAGTCCTTCCAATACTAAAGAATTGCTAAGAGTAAAATCCATTCAAAATCCCTGCAGTGAAGGAATGAAAATCAAAGGTGGGAACTGTTTTTCATCAATTATGTCTAAATATTAGATCAAATCTATAGTGACATTAATTGAATTTCAGTTATTCATGTTGAGAGCATCTACAGGATAAAAAAATAAAAAAAATAAGATCAGCAGAGTCAACTTTGCTACGATGACAACCAATGTCAGATAAAATACCATCTAAGCATCTCTGAACAATACACGAGGATAAACTATGCAGTGAAACTATGCGGTCAAACTGTATTGTTCCTCTAAACCTCGCCTTCTCAATACATTCCTCTAGCCAAGCAATGGAAAGATAAAACCATTTGCCTAATGGAGCGTATAATTTAAATATTTCAGACAAGCATTTACAGAGATGTTGCTTAAAATAAATTTAACACGCATCCATCCAAATATCTTGCATGCTGAAGAGTGTAGCATACCTCACAACTTATTTTTTCCTCTAGAAACTATGAACTATCCAGCCCTTTCAGTTACTTTAGTCATCATATATATGCTGTATTATTTCATATAACAAATCATCATTTATTCCAAAGCAGATTAAATATGAAACTGCAGTTATCTTTATTACACTGCCTTGTGATATTTCAAAGCCATCAGAATTTCAGGTTTCACTAGTGTGCCATGTAGTCCTCCAAAACGTTGTAAACAAGATGTTTAAACTCATAGAAGCTTAAAGGGGTGATGTACTTAATACAGGCTGCAGCATTTTAGCCATGGGAAGATACAATCAGTCAATGTCAATATTCTGTCATTCGGGATCATGATTTTTACCATAAATCATTCTCATTAATACAAAATAGGGGTTTTCCCCATAAACTTCTATCTAGTATTTTAAATATTACTAGCATCAAAACAAAATTCCTGCTTGCCTTGAAAATCAGCTTAGTTTTTTTTTTTTTACAATGCTAAGAATCCAATTTTGTATTTTGACCTACCTAAGGCACAAGAGTACACTGTAAAAAACGAAGCAGATGTAAGAATTCCCTCTTCCACGTTTTTAACACTTGCCTGTATAAGGGAGAAAGGGGTCTTTACTATTTGCATGCCGAAACTAGACATTTTAAAGAGTTCTTCAAGTTTTGCAAACATTAATTAGATTTTAATCATGCACAGCAGTACTTCAGGGAAAATGAAAAGAAAAAACAAGAAAAATTTACTTTGTCTGTTAAGACTGTAATAGGTTTAAACCTTTTCACGTTTGTGAAGAATAGGTTAGTTTTGTTTGCTCTTTGCTACAAAGAGACTCATCTCTATGCATGCCACAAATAACCTGAGCAATGACTTCCCTACATGAGAAGAACTACCCGTCACATTGCAGGATTAACACAGACAATGTAGGTTTGTTTAGTGGTAGCATGCGTGTGTCGCTGGTGCATGTAATTTTAGCCATCCGTACATATCAACCTCTCGTTGCGTACCTCACAAAAAAACGAAGAGCGCTGTTAAAGCCTAAACGACAACATTTTGCAAACAAAGAAAGCTAGTATGCAATCGTGATGCAAAACCATCCCAAAGGTGGTTTACATCCTACGAGATCTCTCACAGAAAACAGCCCGGCAACCTCATTCATCCCCCCGAGCCCACCGCGCTGCTCACCATCTCCTCCGCCTGCTCCTAGTCCTCTGCCCTTATTTTCCTTGCTTCTGCTGGCTTCACGGTATCACAGGAGGCGGGTGTACAAAAAAGGAGGGGGGGGGAAAAACTCTTCAGTAAAACACTCGGCAATCGCTCAGCAGCACACCGACGAAACCGCTCGCCTTCCCCTCGCCCCTGC